CCACCCACCCGGGGATCCCATGCAGGGGGTCCCACCCACCCGGGGATCCCTCCTGGGGTCCCACCCACCCGGGGATCCCATGCAGGGGGTCCCACCCACCCGGGGATCCCATCCAGGGGGTTCCACCCACCCAGGGATCCCTCCTGGGGTCCCACCCACTCGGCGATCCCACCCGAGGATCCTACCCAGGGTCCCACCCCACTACCCGGGGGTCCCACCTACCCGTGGATTGCACCCCCCCAGGCTCACCCCCTGTCCGGGGATCCCACGTAGGGTCCCCCAGCCCCTGGGGCTGGTTGATGACCATGGCAGATGGAGATGCTGATCCTCCTGCCCCCCAGCACTCGAGTTTTAAATAAAACTACTGCAGGTGGCAGCGGGGAACATGAGAGCAGGGCCTGGGGGGCTGCACCCCCACCCAGGGCTGCGACCAGCCATCGCTCCTGCTCCTCCACCTCATCACCGTGTCCCTTCGCAATCCTAAAGCCGAGCAGCGGCTCCCTGTTTGCATTGTGTCAGGGCAGGGAAACCTCAAGGCAAGACAGGAGCCGCTTTGTGTCAGGCACTGAGCAGACAGGCCAGGGACAGCCCCTCACCCGGGGGGGGGACACGGTATCCACAGGCAGGCCAGAGCATAGGGGAGAGAGAGGCAAAAATATGATGGAAAATGGTCTGGGAGGGTCAGTCATGAGGCCATTGTCAAGATAATTCCTTGCTCACTATTAGTAAATCTTCAGATTATCCATGTGTCCCCTTTTCACCGTTCGGATTGCTTCTTTCCATTTGAATTTGGCTCAGATGACCTTTGAAAACAAACCAGTCGCTCCATCCCCCCGTGGTTCCGACTCGGTGTCAAGCACCAAAAGCCTTTGCTGGCCTAACCCAAGCAGCGGTGATAAATACTGAGCGTCACAACAAAACGGATCCAAACCACCCCGAATCCTGCAGCTTGTTTGCTGCCTTCTTTTAACATCCCCGCTGCTCTCAGGGCCGGGTTTAACGTCGCCCCGACTGCCTGCAGGTTTTTATGTCCTGCTGAAGCCAGGATGGTTCTCTGGAGCTTACGCAGCTTATTTTTAGTTTTAATTAGCGCAGTAAAAGAGAAAGTCTCTGTGATTTGGTTGGGGTTTTTTTTTTTCTTTACAATGGGGTTGGTAATTTGGAAAACAGCAGGGAGAGGAAGATGCATCGCTGGGTGCCGGGTAGCTGAGCCCGCTGGGAGGATGAGGAGGGTCCCAGTGCTGTGACGTGCTGCTACATCCTTCACAACTATAGCGATTTGCTCTTCTACTCCAGACCCAACAATTTCCTTATTTCCTTCCCAGCCTGAAGATGGTTATTTTCATCTCGCCTGAGCCTTCCTCAGCGGGATTTGCCTCCCACCACCCTCGGTGCCATCCCGGGGGGGTGAGCAGCGGCCCACACCTTTCCTGCCCTGCCCACCCCAGGCCCCTCACCTCCACCCCAACTCCTGCTGCTGAGCTTCGACAGAATTAAGCACAGAGATGCCTTTTGGTATTTGTCCTGCCAGGGCAGCTGCCTGCAGTGAAGTCCCCTCAGTGCCCGTGGCACGAAGTCTCTCCCGCTGCCTGGGCTCAGCAGCACCCCACGCTGCCCACGAGCGCTCCCCAGCTCACCCTCCTGCTCCCTGAACCTTGATTTTGGGGGCCAAGCACGGTGCACACCAGCAGAATGAAACCCTCACCAGGGCCAAAGCTGAGAGAGGCTCGAAATGCCACGGATCTCTGCAACGGGGTTCTGCAACATTCAGGGGTGGATTGTCCAGAGAATCTAATTAGGAATGAGCAGATCTTCCCGAGCTGTAATATGCCAAGTAATTAAGTGATTAGTATTGATTGTTGGAATGCCTAATGAGCAGTTATCACTGAATGATTAATTAATCCAATCAAAAGAGTAATAAAAATTCTGCAGGTGTGATTATATCTTATATTCAATGCGCAAGGGCAGTGAGATCTCTCCCTGCGGTGGCTGTCTCCCGTTCACATCCCAGGCACATGGAGGACGTGGTACCGGAGATGCTCGTGTTGCTGCCCCACTCCCACAGCCCGGGCTGCCCCCGGGGCAGGGGGTCTCTCCCCTCCCCAAACCCCCCTCCCGAGCACTGCCAGGCCGGGCTGCCAGCAGCTGGCAGGCATCTGGAGCTGTTCCATGGGGCATGGAGGTGGGGAAGGTGGTCCCGCAGGAGCTGTCAGCATCCAGAGGATGCCAAGAGCAGTCGATGCTGATGTCCTCCCTGGGAATCTTTCACTCGCTCCCTTGATTAAGTCACTTCAGCTTCTCCCGGGTCACTCAGCCCGTGGAAACTCTGCTAATCTCTTCTTAAACCCGCAGCGTGCCGCAAACTCACCCCCGGCCACTTCCCAGCCATGCTGTGGCTCGGCAGCACGTGTCCCCAAGAGCACTGTGCCCTCGGGACACAGGAGCTCTCAGGACACCCACAGCCCCGTAACAGTCATTAGTATTTACCTGATTACATGACAACGTTATTCAAAACTGGATAAATTATCTTGCCAGCTAGTGCTCACAGAGCACCCTGACTTGCGAGCAAGGACCTCCACCCACCCGTCCCTTCGTCCCCTCCAGAGCACCCTTTGCCACCCGCCTTCCTCTGGGTGGGACGTCAGTGGTGGGGGACAGCCGGGGACAGCGTGGCCCTGTGCCACCACCAGCAGTGCCCAGAGCAGCTGCTTGGCAGGGGGGTGCAGGCCCCAGAACCGAAAGAGGGGCACATGCTCACCCCTGCCCGCACTCTCCCCTCTCCCGGCCGTGCCCTCAGGATCGGCCCCGTGGTCACAAACCAGAGGGGTTTCTGCCCCCGGGGGGCTGTGATGGCACCTGGCATTCCCAGGCGCTGCCGCAGCCCAGGAGATGACGGATCCGAGCTCTAACGCTCTTTTCTGTGCATCCTTTAAGGATTTGAGGCTGATCGCCCGTGCTTCCTGCGTGGCATCCACAGCTGGCTCCGCACAACGCCGTCAGCTGCCTCTGCCTGCCTGACGGGGCCCTGATGGGGCTGAGCGCACTGGTTATAATTAGAAATGCTAATCAGCTCTTGTGTTTCTGGCTTGACAGCCCTGCCACCCCCAGCACAATCTTCCCTCCAATCTGTCCTATGCTCGCCCCCTCCGCTTCCTCTCCGAATCTCTGCGACGTGTAATGAAGCCCTACGGAATTAAGGGGGGACCAAAGCTGGGGCTGCTGGGGGTCTCTGCATGCTTTGGGCCAGGCACGTGGCCCCCGCAGAGCTCCTGGCTTGCTGAGGACACTTTGAGGGTCCCACCCTCCATTCACCACCAGCCCCCTGGGCTGGGGACACCGCAGGGACACCCCCTGCTCCTCGCCGAGAGCCCCGGCGCTGAGCCATGGGGTGGAAGAGGGGCACCCCAAGGGCTCTGCTGCAGTTTAAAGGCAAAGGGTGGTGGCTGTGGCCAGGAGCCCTGCGGCGCTGCTGGCCCAGCTCTGGAAGGGCAGGCGCTCTCATTAGGATTTCTGTCATGTGCCAGCTGTGGGCTCTTCCCAGCCGAGGAGGAAAAGGAGCTTGCAGAGGAGCATGGACAAGGAGGCTGAGCAAGCAGATCCCTGCACAGGCTTAGCTTGTTACGGAGTTATTCATAGTCACGGCTTGCTCTAGGAGACACAACCCAGGGGATTCCTCCCTCACTGGTGCCCACACACAACCCCTGTCAGCCCCCCGCCCCTCCACACAACTCCCCACGAAGCCAGAGCGCTCCTGTTGCTGCGAGATCCAGGACGTGGCTTTCTCCCTGGGCTTTTGGCTGCCAAAGTCAGGCTTGGCTGGCAAGTTGTTCCTTGGGAGCAGGCATGGGGCTCAGCTGGCCACAGAGGTGTGCAGGTGGGACGAGCAGCCACAGCGTGCAGCCACACACAGCTCAGTGTGCTCAGAGAGGGAGGGATGGCATCCAAACCCACGCTGGCTCGACGCCGGCCGTTCAGGGCTCCTCTCCCCGGCAAACAAGAGCGGGTGGCAGCACAGCGTGGCACAGCCCAGGCAACAGCCGGTGGTTGGTCCCTCACCCCACAAACGCAGTTCAGATGCTCACAGACACCCCTGCAGCCTCCCGGGGTTGTGCCCAGGGTGCTGATGTGTTAACAAGGGGTCAGGCTCACTCAGCTGATAACCTGAACCGCATCAAGTAACCCACAGCATCGGCACAACACAGCTGCACCACCATGGAGCAGGAAATGAATCTGATCTGGAGCCACAGCCCACATGCCCACCTGAGCTGTGAAATATCGCAGCATCTCTAAGTGGTGCTGTGCTGGGGGAAAACACACCCAGCTCGTGGGTTTTTAAGTCAGCCTTCATCTCCAGGTGCTCCCTGTTTATTAACCTCACAGGGCTGCAGGGGAGAGGCTCCAGTCTGGAGGCTTGATGTGCAACAGGGCAAGAGTTTTCAAAAAGGCAGCGATTGCCTGAGCAAAGGAGACACCCACCCCCCTCACCTTCTCTGCCCCGGACCCCCACACATGGCCACGTTTCACCTGGAGCACGCGCCTGTTCCCATGGCATGTTGTGGCACAGGCACCAGCCCGTGGGCATGTGGGAAGAAGCAAAGGGCTTCTTCACCTTCCCACGCACCCAGCACCGTGATTTCTGGAGACAGAAAAAGAAACAAGGAGGTATCACAAAAAGGGTGCCAGGAGGGACAGGGCGTGGCGGCTCCGATGGTGATGGACTGGTGGAAAGGCCCAGGCACCTGACTGGGAAAGCTCCGGGCACAAGCTGGAGTGGATTTGTCATGACTAATTGACTCTCTCCGGTGCTGTGGTACAGGTTTCACGTGTCGGGTGAGCGGGGTCCCGAGCATCCAGGCATTAATGAGGGTCTGACCCTGTCTGTGCAGCCACTTGAGTTTTTCCAGGGCAGACAGCTGGCTTAAGAGGCCCCTTTATTCTTTACATATCAGATCAATTGGGATAGTTATAATCTAGTCCTTGCAAAAGCTTGGAGCAGGCTTTGCTGCCCAGTTAGCTCAAGGGGGAAAAAAGCAAGCAAGAGGGAGAGGTCATGATGAACTATTGATTGAGCAGACGGCGGTGCTGCTCCCAGAGATGGCTTTTGCAGAGAACTCGCCCGGGACAGTTTGCCTCTATATCTCTCGCTAATGCTGCTCCATTGATCTTCTGTGACAGGCAGCAACTAGGAGATTTTTTTAGCTGGAGTCATTAAGAGGCATTAATCAATAACAGGGGAAACAGAGAGAAACTGTTTGTTTCATGGAGACATATTCCCCGTGCGGATTTTAGCCCGCTGAGGTGTGCATGTTTTATGTCCAGTGGCCAGGGAGGCCTGCCAGGAAAAGAATTCACTTTTTGCTGGACTCTGGTACTTGGAGGAGATCCTGAGCCGGTTGCAACACGCTGGTAGCTCTGGCCAGGCTGTGCGATGAGAGGAGACCAGTTGGGGAGTTCGTGGCATCTGATTCCAGGTACCCCAGCATCGTACCCAGCACCCCACACCGCCCGGCCCCTCTGTTCCCACACAAACACCCCAGGAAGCGCTAGGTACTGATTTCATATGCCCAAAACTCTGGGTACTGGTTTCACGTTGTGCTTCTGCTAAATCCAGTGTCCTCCTGGCCGTGGTGCAAGGGGTCCCAGCAGCTTGCTCAGCAATCCAGCCCTGTCTTTTGAGCTCAGCCCCCGCCCGCTGGCTCAGCCTGTGGTGCTGCTGCTGTAGTCAAGACCCAGAGTTCTTTCCCGTGGCAAGACTGGAGTTGTTTGCTAGAGAAATGGTCTTTGTACTGAAAGCACCCCAGGCTGCACCGCTTCCTCCCACCCTGCCCCAGGGCATCAGTACATTTCCATTGCTCTGTGGTGGCAACACCCATTTTTCTTCTCCTCCAAGCAGCTTCTCTGCTCCAGCAAGTGTCTGTGCAGGTGCTGGAGCCCATTTTCCCATGGAGAGCTGGAGAAGGGAGCTGGAGACGTGCCGAGAAGCAGGAGGATGGGATCGCCTCCAAAGGTGACTGCAAAGAGCGTACTGGAGGGAGCACGGGAGAGAGGGCCCGGCTCCTGCTAACGGGGCCTGCACGGAGCGGGTACCAAGGGATGCTTGAGAGAAAGGGAAATGCCCTTTGGGAGGCAGGGATGGAGATCAGCTTCCCTTCCCTCTCTGGGGCACACCTTGCCTCGACTCCCAAAGCCCCAGTCTCCCGCTGCTCCAGCTCTCACGGGCCACTGCGCAGTGGTAATTACCGCAGCTCTCTGGGGAAACAGGATCTTCATCTGTGCTGTAATTACAGCTACACATCCCCAGCGAAGGGATCACAGGGAGCGGGAGGGGAGGGGATGAGGAGGTTGCTGTCTCAGAAGCAGGTTGCGGTGGCGGTGCACGCAGCAGGCACACGCTGGCCCTAAGCACCTGATAGTCGCAGCCCTGCAAACACACACAACACCCACATGGGGCTCAGCATCGAGCCCAGACGGGGCAGGTTATACTGCTGCTGGCTGGTGGCTCCCCGAGATGAGAGACAGAGCAAAACCCTCTTCAGTCCCAGGTTGCCCATCAAGAGAAACCCTTGGCTAACAGCTTTGCCTTCCCTGTTCAGTCTCCGGGTTGAGTACCCACCCCTTCCACCAGCACAAAACCCATGAGAAACAATTTAATTTCCTTTGTTTACACATGATATCGGGGGAAGAGCCTAGTCCTATTGAAACTGGGGGGAAAAAAAAAAAAAGTAATTCCAATTTTACAGCCTTGGGCCCAGAGGAGGTCAAACTGCAGGCAGACAAGATGCTGTTTCCAGGGCTGTGTCCTGGGCTCGGTACATTCATTTTACTCAGAGCTCTGCCTGGGGCGGGTAGTACCATGTCCTGTGGAGAACATCAAGTGCAGGGGGATTTCCAGTCTCAGTGTACAAATACAAATGCAACAGTAAGATCTTGCAGTCTCGTGTTTTCACTGCCTGCTGTTTTTGGCAAAGTCTGCTAGGAGAAAATATAAAAACCAGTGCTGGGGGCGCATGGTGGGGTGTAAGCCCTAGCAGTAAGCCTTGACTGATGGTGCAGTGACTCTCCAAACACCAACCTCCAGCCTCACTGACAGCCAGAGGAGCAGAACCCGGGCACTCAATGGGACGGCTCGTGTGGCATTCCTCCTGCAGAAGCATCATGCCAAATCAGCTTTGTATCTTCTGTAGATTTAAATAATGGGTTGTCTTTTTCAAGGCTCCGAGAAAGCAGATCTTTAAAAAGCTGAGAAATGGTTTTAGGTGGGGACTCAGACATGTAAAGGGATCCAGTTCCTGACAAACGGGACTATAAAACCACATCGGGCTGGAGTGAACATCCGAGCAGGTAACGCAGTTCCTTTCTCAATAGTTATCTACAGGTGTGTAGAGGTTACAGGAAGGCTCTGATTATCTAATACACTTTTGCAATACGTTTCTCTCTTAATTGCAAGTTCCCAGAGTCAAACTCCCTCAGCCTCTCACTCTTTCCAGTGACCAGTGGAGGCTGTGCACGCACAACCCCAGGCCAGGGCAGTTTAGCAATCCTCTGGTTTCTGGGTAACCCGGCTCCTGCGCAGTCCTGTGGGTAACTGCAGCGCTCGCCTTCACACCACACTGAGTCAACAGCCCAGTTCCTCCCCAAGTGTTTACTCTGTTGTCACGAGAGCGCTGACGTGTTCTTACTTACAAGCACAGCAACTAAAGGGAGTGTGATCGCGGGGCAGCAGGAGCCAACGCAGCAGCTGGGGGGTCAGTCTGAAGCTCTGCCCGTGCAGGCGTGGGCTCGGCCATGGGTTTCCGTGCTGCCCACACAAGGAGCAGCAGGAGGGCTTCACCTCCCGTGCGCTGGTGCCCTTTTAGGCTGAAACAAGTGAGAGGGAAATGGGATTCGCTCGCATCCTTTGCACAAACTGCTCTTGGCCACCATCCTTGCCTCGCCGAGCAGCCTGGCGCGGGCCCTGCTGTGCGCAGCAGTAGATACAGCGCAGCCCAGGTCAGGCCTCGTCACTGGCTTTGCTGGGACAACGCTTCCAGGAGAAGATTTCAGTGATGCCCTTAGGGCAGGTTTGCACACTCATGAAAAGATGGTCCAGGTGACCAGTCTGGAGCCCTGCCTGCGTGGGAGCAAGCTCTAGCAGCGTAACCACATCTGTATCGCGATGCTGGGCAGGTTTTATGTACGACGAGCTACCCCGAGGTGAGCCGCAGCGATGCCAAGCTCCCAGCCTCTCTCAAAGCCAGCTGGTAGTTGAGACAGTTAAAGAGGGACGGGGACAGATCAGTGTGTGGATGGCCAGACTGACAGAGGTCTGGGAGAAGTTAGATCAGGTGTGTGGATCACCTCACTGTCCCCAAGTCCTTGAGGCTGCTTTGCAGCACCCAGCAGCAGGGATTGCTGTTGAGGAGCTTGAGCAACCCCGGGCTTCATGTGCCCTTTCCGGGGGGGACTCACAAGATGTGCATGTGCGTGCCTTGACACGGCCAAGAAGGAAGCAGCTTGGCTGGTCACCTCCTCTTCCCCCTGCCTTTAATGTCACAAACCCGGCTGCTGCTTCCAGCACGTGTCCCTTGGCAGGAGGCGAGGAGGAGCAGGCCGCCCGGTAGCCAAAGACACCGCGGGAAGTTAAGGGAACCTGTGCCTCCTGGGGGGCTCCTCGCCGAGCACCCACCTGCCCGGCCTCCCACTGCTCTACAGCCTGCTCAGCCCTGCACGGCGACGCCAGGCGATGGGTAAGGTCTCTCCTTCCTTCCTATCCCGCTGAGTGCTTTCCTTCCCTTCTCGGCTCACCTTCTCCCTGCGTGCGTGGGAGATGTTCTCCTGGCTCCATTTCTTTTCCAGTCAGGAGCTAGTCATCAAAAGGGAGGTCACATGTTGTTTCCAAGGGAAGCAATAAATTAAGACAAATAAAAGATAAAAAAACACAGCCAGATTATTATGAGACACCAGAAAACTAAGGCCAAGGGTAACCCTTTTGGCTTTATGGCTTGCCACAGAAATCCCACCATCAGTGATGCTGTGCGGACCCTTCTGCCCACCATGTTTTGGTGTTAGCACAATTTTACCATTTCCAGGTAGTTTTTCCAGGCAGCTTTTCAAGGTCCCCGCGGAGGGTGCTAGAAGGCACCGGATGCCAAACACACCCGCAACAGGCAGTGCCCATCACAGAGAATTTACTGCCTGCTCAGCGCTGGCTGGGTGCTCGCTCCTGCCGGTGTTCCTGGACCCTGCTCAGCTTGACTACCTGCAGGCTACACTTACCACACATCTAAATAATTCAGTCAGTAGTTTAAATATGCAAAACGTGCAGCACAATCTAGTAAGCTTGGGGTTTTTTTTAAAAGAATTTGGAGCCCTTCACTCTGGCTGCTGGAGCTTGGGAGGGCAGGGATGGGGTTGCCTTTTCCTCTACCCAAAAACGGACACGTTTCAGGACACATGGTGATGACATCCCTGCTGCGTTACGCAGCACGCTGAGGCTCGTGGGCCCTCTTCCATCAGACAGTTAATAGTTACGATAATGTTAATGCACAGGCTGTCGTCATCTGGCAGCATAACTGCTTGCCTTATGAAATAACTCAGCGTGACAGCTCTGCTTGCTAGCAGGCAGGCCCATGTCTGGCTTCTAATCTGGCATCAGAAATCACTCCCCTTCCTTGAGCTACAGACTAATATTAAACATTTCATTTGCATTACTCCAGATAATCTCTTGGAAAGCGTGGGGAGAAGGGAATTACAGCCAAGCTCCTTTAGGAGCCCACACATGAAGCAAACGTGCAACTGCCATCCCCATCACGCCATTTCTGCTAAAAGCCGTTTGCCACCGGTGCCGTGGCCGCGCTGGAATTCGCATTTCAGTTTCCTCACGTCAGCCGGCGTTTACGAGTTGAGCGGATCAGCTCGCACGATGCCACCAGTGACAGATCACCAGTGACTTTCTTCCCATGTCAACAAAAGCGAAAGTCACGAGGATAATGTGGAATTGCTCCGGGCCAGCGTATGTTCAGCTGGAAAGGTCTCGGTGACTTCCCAGGCATATGCTGGCTGGCACGGTGTTGGAGCAAGGCTCTCTGAACAGCCTGTACGACGCAGGCCGGAGGGATTAATCTAATGCTGCGTTGAGATGCTAATACAATAAGGGTTCTTTGTGGCATTAGCAGGAATCATGAGACCAGCTCTGAGATGTCATTGCCTGGCAGCTGTAGGGAGTACCGGCGTTGAGCTCTCTGGCAGAGAGAAGGAGCTTGTCTCCTGCTTTAGGCATTAAAGCTGCTGAGGGGCAGTGAAAATGCAGCGAACCCCTCTCTGTTTTGGTGACAGCCCATTTGGGAACAGCCCGCTACCTCTGTTGTTGAGTCTAGGGAGATTTGTTTTGTTAACAACGGTTATTTGGAAAGGCACTCACTTTTCTTTGAGTTTCCCAGGGGCTGCAAAGCTGCAGGTGCCAAGAGGATGCTCAGGACCAGGGTTACATCTTACCCTGGTGAAG